GAAAACTACCAATCCGCTGCAGAAGAAGACCAAATGCACAACTTTGCAGCAATATATTGCAGCACCTATAAAAGAAGTGCCAGTCTGCATCAAAAATAATAAAAATGTATTGTAATTGAAACTCAGGAATGTATTTTTATAGATCAATACTGGAATGAGAATGGGCCGATATTCTTTTACACTGGTAATGAAGGACCTATCACAGGATTCTGGGACAACTCTGGCTTTGTCTTTGAGGCAGCTGAGAAATTTAATGCCTTAGTTATATTTGGTGAACATGTGAGTAATAGACATTTTGTGTTTTACTTGTACTTGTGGTACAAAATATAATACCAATTTATTATTATTAATAGTAAGCGTTTTTTTCTCATCCCCCTTGTCCCCCATCAATCTTTTCTGATGCCCCTCAATCTATGCACCTAACTATTATTTACAATAAGTGTCCAGTTTCTCACATACTGATTGGCTCATTTTTATCATCAGTAAGAGTACAGACAGATAAAATGTTAATTTATGCAAGCTTTCAAGTTCAACTTTCAGCCGTCAAACTGTCAACTTTTTAACCAATGAGATTTTGTGGACTTTTTTTTAAGTAGCCAATCAAAAAGCGAGAAAAGCTATTGACAATGCTTGTGGTATTTTGAATAAAATTCACTTATCTTTGTTTACGGCAAGTTTACAGCATTTTTTCCCCTCATTTATTCCCAGCATTTGACCATTTTGGGGTCTTGTTATTGTGCAAAACAACTTGACGTCAGTTTTTCATGTGTCTGTCCTCTTATTAATGATAAATTGCATCATAACATTGTCAAAGTTTACTGTGGAACCACTTGCCTGCGGCTTGTGGTTCCACAGCCACTTTGACAATGTTATGATGCAATTTATCATCAATAAGAGGACAGATGCATAAAAAACTGATGTCAATTTGTTAATTTTTTCCAAGTCGACGACTACATGAAGGGGTAGCAAATGGTTACTAGAAGGCCATAGTTCTTGGGAAATTTTGACTTAATCAATGTTGAATTCTTTAAATGCTTTGTGATTGAGCTTCGAAGTCTTGTTTTCGAGGTGTTCCTTCTGTCTTGTATTCTAAAATAATTATTGTGGAAGTCAGTCTCAGATTTTCAGACAATTAGGACTGTGCATATTACCAAGTCTCAGACGTAAGCATTCATATTTCTACAACTGGAGACAATATAGTCCTGTAGCACTACTATACCATATAGTGACACATAAAGTGAGAGTTTATATTATTTTCAATAAAAGAGGTATTATGGAGAATCTATGCCATTTGGTTCATCATCATTTGACCATGACAAAGTTGGCTATCTTACAGTGGAGCAAGCCATGGCGGACTTTGCTGTTTTAGTTACAGAACTAANCTCATCAGAAATGCATGTGTACTTTTCATAATGTTCTGCACTATGTAGCACTGTTTCTTCCAGTATGACTCATAAGATTAGGCAGTGGCTGTCAAATATGTGAACGGTCGGTTGCAATTACACTAATTAAAACAAAATTGCTGTGGTGTTAGTTTTGAGTGTTTTTACCGATTACACGTCAGGTAAAGCTAATGGGATGACATCCCTGGTGAGTTACAGGAACCATTATATTTAATTCAAGTTATTGGGGTAGATTTTGACCTAGGGAAACGAAATTCAGTTTGAGTTAGTGGGGAATTCAAGTTATTTGAGTTTGAGTTAACCAAGTTAAAATGACTGAAAAGTGGGGTCAAATCCAAGGAAAATGGGACTTGGTTCAAGTTAGCAGGGGAGTTCAAGTTATCCGAGCTTGAGTTACCAGGGTTCTANATTTTGTCAGATTTCTGCTACAATTTAATGTACCACTGGGTCTGACATTTCAAGAAATAATTTGCCCACAGCCCTTCCCCTACTTTGCTTCTTTAGATACAGCACATTAAGTGTCATTATCTGACTCATCCCCTGTTGTCTCTCAGTGTTGTATTGAATATTAACAAGAGACATCTGGTGAAAACTTGGAGGCATGGGTGGTTATGGGAAGGAGGAAAGGTGAGAGACAACCAGCAGATCCTCTTTTCAAGATGGCCAAGAGATCCCTTCCCATCAAGCTCTGCTTAATCATTTCCACCCAGTCAACTCTTGCTCCTGTCAGAGACTCTGAGACAGCTGGGGATGAGTCGGTGTCATTGTAGTTGGATGTAGCTTGTACTGTGTTGGGGATCAAAATACAGTAGAACCCCAGCAACTTGAACTCTGAAGGGAAACAAAAAACAGTTCAAGTTAGCAGGGGATCAAGTTATCGGGGTCGATTGAATATCCAACTTGCCATGTTAATAATTGATAGTTCACTGATTTCTCAGCATTCCAGTATACAGTACAGTGTAAATGAAACTTATCTCATCAGAAATGCATGTGTACTTTTCATAATGTTCTGCGCTGTAGCACTGTTTCATCCGGCATGACTCATAAGATCAGGCAATGGCTGTCAAATATGTGAACGGTCGGTTGCAATTACACTAATTAAAATAAAATTGCTGTGGTGTTAGTTTTGAGTTTTTTTACCGATTACACAACAGGAAAAGCTAATGGGATGACATCCCTGGTGAGTTACAGGAACCATTATATTTAATTCGAGTTATTGGGGTGGATTTTGACCTAGGGAAACAAAATTCAGTTTGAGTTAGCGGGGAATTCGAGTTATCGGAGTTTGAGTTAACCAAGTTAAAATGACTGAAAAGTGGGGTCAAATCCAAGGAAAATGGGACTTGGTTCGAGTTAGCAGGGGAGTTCAAGTTATCCGAGCTTGAGTTACCAGGGTTCTACTGTATTTACAGTAGATGCAAATCATGAAAATCTTTAAAAGAACCTGTGACCTCTTTCAGGCATGTACTGAGTTAGCCCTGCCAGCAGGCTCAAACAACAAAACAGACATGTTTCCACCTCTACCCTGGACTCCTGACATGAGAGCCGAGTACTGTCAGGAAAAATGGGGTGTGGTCCAACGACCAGGCTGGTCAGCGATTCAGCTCTGGGGAAAAGGTTGGTTTGAATATTGAAATGACGGTGTATGTTGAGACTTAACTGTACAAGAATAAATATTTAGCTAAATTTAACACATGTACCCTCACTTGGGGGACAAGGTATGTTAATGTAACTGTTCCTTTCAAAATAATCTAATCGTGACTTGTT